CCAGGACATGAATGTGCTTCATCTTGAGCCACTCCTTTGTTGCCTTGGCCGTGTGTTTTGGGTCATTGTCATGCTGGAATACCCATCCACGACCCATTTTCAATGCCCTGGCTGAGGGAAGGAGGTTCTCACCCAAGATGTGACGGTACACGGCCTCGTCCATCGTCCCTTTGATGCTGTGAAGTTGTCCTGTCCCCTTAGCAGAAAAACACCCCCAAAGCATAATGTTTCCACCTCCATGTTTGACGGTGGGGATGGTGTTCTTGGGGTCATAGGCAGCATTCCTCCTCCTCCAAACACGGCGAGTTGAGTTGATGCCAAAGAGCTCGATTTTGGTCTCATCTGACCACAACACTTTCACCCAGTTCTCCTCTGAATCATTCAGATGTTCATTGGAAAACTTCAGACGGGCCGGGTAGTGTGTTACCAATTGTTTTCTTGGTGACTATGGTCCCAGCTGCCTTGAGATCATTGACAAGATCCACCCGTGTAGTTCTGGACTGATTTCTCACCGTTCTCATGATCATTGCAACTCCACGAGGTGAGATCTTGCATGGAGCCCCTAGGCCGAGGGAGATTGACCGTTCTTTTGTGTTTCTTCCATTTGCGAATAATCTCACCAACTGTTTGGCGATGGTCTTGTAGCCCATTCCAGCCTTGTGTAGGTCTACAATATTGTCCCTGACATCCTTGGAGAGCTCTTTGGCCATGGTGGAGAGATTGGAATCTGATTGATTGATTACTTCTGTGGACAGGTGTCTTTTATACAGGTAACAAACTAAGATTAGGAGCACTCCTTTTAAGAGTGTGCCCTAATCTCAGCTCGTTACCTGTATAAAAGACACCTGGGAGCCAGAAATCTTTCTGATTGAGAGGGGGTCAAATACTTATTTCCCTCATTAAAATGCAAATCAATTTATAACATTTTTGAAATGTGTTTTTCTGGATTTTTTATTGTTATTCTGTCTCTCACTGTTCTAATAAACCTACCATTAAAATTATAGACTGATCATTTCTTTGTCAGTGGGCAAACGTACAAAATCAGCAGGGGATCAAATACTTTTTTCCCTCACTGTATGTGTGTTCATGTGTATGTGTTTGTACGTTATGTGTGTGTATGTGTGTGTGTGTGTGAACTTACTGGTCCTACAGGGTGAGTATTCTGCGTAGGCGCTGAAGTTCTGCACGGCAACATAGCAGGTTCCTACCGGGTCCTTCTCACCATTCACCTTCACTGTACGCCAGTGGTAGAGCGGAGCACAGGCCTACACACACACACACACACACACACACACACACACACACACACACACACACACACACACACATTACATGTATATGACTGGTTCAAAGTGTATTAGTTAGTCATAGCACTGATGGTTTACATCTATGATGGGTTAGGGTTAGACAGAATATAATTCCTCACCACCACTTTGCCTTTGTGAGTTCTAACTGAGGCTCCAAACCACTGGTGAGACTTGAACTCCAGAGGCTCCCTGGTGCCATTCACCTTAATCATCCTGTTATCTATAGAGAGAGATGGAGGGAGGGAGGTGGGAGGAGGGAAAGAGTGATAGAGATACTTTTATTATGGCATCAATCAACCTGCCCTAGCCTTAATAGGTCTAGTCTCTGTACAACATGTGTCATGCATGCCTATACACAATGGAAGGCCCAGATTTGTAAGCTAACTAAAGTAATATGGACAACACTAACTTTTTAAAATTATGTTTCTATTGAAGTTTCTAGAAATACACCTTGATCTTTAATGTCCATTGTCATGTTGTAAATGTGTATGACTGTGTGTGTGTGTGTGTGTGTGTGTGTGTGTGTGTGTGTGTGTGTGTGTGTGTGTGTGTGTGTGTGTGTGTGTGTGTGTGTGTGTCAGTGGGCGTTAGCCTGCTCCAGTGCAGATCCTTTCCTGTGTTATTGAAGGCCAGCTGGGCCTGTTTAGAGAGACGGAGTCTCTACCCCTCATAAAACACCAGCAACCTACACACACACACACACACACACACACACACGCACTGAAGACTGCAGTTTCTCCCGGCCCATATTAGACGACAGGTAATAAAGAAATGTACTAATTATGAAATTTGAGTGAACTATCCCCATATGTCTTATGTCATGTTTTGTCATTAGAATGACCTCATGCACACTGTTCCTAACTCCTAACCCAGTTACAGTGGCTTGGTCTCTTCCCTTTGACACCAGGTCAGGTGCACCACAGCCATGCCTCTGATCGACACAACGTACCCTCTCTAGTCTTATTGCTTAATTCCTTCAATCTCTCTCTCCTTCACCCTCCTCTCCCTGTCTTTCCCCCTGACTGAGGCCCTGCCCAGTATGGCTCTCTCTCTCTGTGTGTGTGTGTGTGTGTGTGTGTGTGAGCGTGTGTGTGCGTGTGCGTGTGTGTGTGTGTGTGTGTGTGTGAGCGTGTGTGTGCGTGTGTGTGTGCGTGTGTGTGTGTGTGTGTGTGTGTGAGTGTGTGTGTGATGATAGATGATAGGCATGTGTGTGTGTCTCTCATGTCGCTGGTTTGTACCTTTATTAATGAGGCTACAGTAACTCTAGCCATGTCCACCATATTCATGCACATCAATCACGCACACACACACACACACACACACACTCACACACACACACACACAAACACGGATGAATTTGAAGATCTAATAAAAAGCAGACCTCCCCTCCTTCCCCCTCCCTCTTATCCCCTCCAGTCTCAGAGGGAAACTGAATTCCCATGTGCTCACAGTTTACCCCCCCTAGCCCCCTGACCGCTTCATACACGCTCACACTTTACCCCTCCCCCAGGATAATTGAGAGAGTGATGGAGAGAGAGAGAGAGGAAGCGAGGGAGAGATTTAGGGAGAACGAGAGTAGGGGAGTTATTAATCTAATTGCCCTTCCTATCAGAATAGACTGGTTAGTGCAACAGGAAGTAGTTTTTCAGTAAAGAAACAGAGGTGACAGTACCAGAATTCCAGAACACCAGACAGACAGATGCATTCAGCCACCACCCACCACTATATCTTTCTCATAGAAATGAATAGTAGTTATATTTCTATGGCCCTCTTCATACACACTCCACCTGACAAAGACCATATGGATCATCACACACACACACACACACACACACACACACACACACACACACACACACACACACTCACACGGACCATGCACACACTTACACACATTAATGGTGAGGGCGCTCTCTTGTGTTCTGTTATTTGTCCGGATGTATGAAGTGTATCGGGTGAAATTACACTTCTAACAGGAACACACACACACGTACAGTTCTTCTGTTCTCCTGAAACCTGAAGCCAACCACATGGGCAGGAGTTAACCCCTTCATACTCACTCATGAACTTTGTGCGAGCAGAACCAGCACACACACACACTCACGCACACACGTCACACACACACACACAGGTACACAGCATGGTGTAACTCACTAGCGTTGTCGAAGGGTATCTGTGAGCAGCTGTGGGGTTGCTTGGTGGGGTCAGGGTTTGGGGGATAGGGACAGTAGTAGACAGCTCCCCCCTCTATGATGCCTGGCTGGGACGTGTTGGCCTTGGGCGCTCCCACCAACACACTCAACCTGCAGGGACACCGTCATCACACAGATATAATCCCACTAATTGAATGTTCACACACAAAACTTGAGAGAAAGAGATGGTCTTTAACACACACAGACACACACTCTGCGAGAGAGAGAAAGAGTATTACCCACATTCATTGGGCAAGACACATTAATATTTTAGTCATTTAGCAGAAGCTCTTATCCAGTGCATAAAACTAAGGAGCTGAAACAAGAAACATCTTGGTAATAAAACAGTCCTCAGATCCTTTACAAATCCCAGTGCTCATCACAGAGTCAGCACAGAAAGCAGAAGTACAGTAGGCTACTTGCATTATTACATACTGTTTCCTGCAGTCTTGGTGTGCTTGGAAAACTGTCCCAACACATAGTCACATAGAACTGTATTTGTGTTCACTTGCAAGATGAATTTCCAGTTGAAATTATTATTATTTTCTATTATATTGTGAGTGAACCCATCTCTCTGTTCGGACATTTTCTGGGAATCCAGACTTAATTCAAGTAACCCAATATTAACCCGCAGACCTATGTGGGCTGTGGGCTGTTCGAAATTTAAATTAAGAACGTTCAAATGCAACGTTTTAAAGTGATAGTTGTGGTCTCGGACTGTTGTCACTCACGTGCTGCTTTCGGGGGTCGGTCGGTAGAAGTCCACGGAGTAACCAAAGTAGCTCCCCTCTGGTCCTCGGTACACGGCGGGGCGCTCCGCATGCAGGTTGAACCCCGAGACCACCGAAAGGACCGGCCACAGCACCGACACCACGCGACACAACATCCCACCGAACGCACACATCCTATAGGCGTACATTAACACCATCCCCGCAGCCAGACCAGTAGCCTATCACACCGCTTGAATCCGTTAGTAAGGAGAGAGAAAGATGATAGGAGCGATGGAGGGAGAGAGTGTTTCTGTCCAGCCAGGTGAGTTATCCCAAGTTGTGCCCGTGCGTCCCGCTCTCGCCGCTGTCTCCCACACTAGCCACTCACACACACACTCTCCTCCAGGTCGGATCTCTTGATGCTCTCACTCACACACACTCTAAACTCATCTGCAGCCTGCAGCCAGACTCTCCTGTCGCTGGGGCGGCGCGCTTCTATTCTGTGCGCGCCCCGGTTGCACAACACCTCGACCCCCGCACCCCCTTCAAGACGGCATCCAGACCACATCAGAACGCGTCATCAAGCTATTTTTATGGGGGAAAAAACAATTTTGTCCTTGCGTAGGTTTTAATGGTGAAGCATTAAATAATATAAAGTGGATTTATTAATCCTCTCTCTCTTTTTCTGTCTCTCTTTTTCGCTCGCTCACTCACTCACACGCACGCACGAACGCGCACAATAGCGCTATAATATGACATGTCTGATATTACAGGTTTGGCGGTGTTTTATTATTAAACCGTTTATTCTGACCGCGCCGGTTTAATGAGATGCGTTTCCTTCCATTAAAGAATAATCACCGGTAATTATCTCGCTTAATTATGACTGAGATCTAAAGTTAAACACGCCAGCCTGTGCACTACAACTAAAGACGGGTTAGGCCTATCACGTTGTGTGTGTGTGTGTGTGTGTGTGTGTGTGTGATGGATTTTCACGGTACGCGTTACCAATCCCTGTCCTGCGCGAGTCCTCTCCCAAAAGTGAAGCTATAAATACACTCGTAGCCTATTCTGATCCAGACACAACTTGTGTGTGTGTGTGCGTGTTTTAGACATCTTGCCTGCATAGCCTACCTCCTGTAGATCTAAAGTGTAATCTTATCAAAGCAGACCATTCCACTATGACCACATCACTCATCCAGTGTGTGTGTGTGCGTGTGTGTGTGTGTTCCTGCATTAACTCAGTCTGCTCCTAACCACCATCAGGAGAGTTTTAATTATATCTGAAGTTTAGAATGTTTCATTGTTGTCAAGAGACTGCAAGTCTCATATAGTCGTAGAAAACTGTAAAACTGTGACTGTGTGCTTTGGAGTACTGGTCTTTCTCAGCTGTTATGAGGAACATGTTTAGGAGATGCTTTATGTCCATTTGTGTTAAAGAAACCAGAGTCCAAACATCTTTGATCACCTTATTAACAATTTATTTTGCTGTGGACCAAAATGAAGTACTTAGGCTGAAATGTATGTTTTTGTGTTACTGTAAACGACTTCTTCCTATTTTCAGACAAGTGATATGAACCAGGCGGGGTTGTGTGTGGTGTGTGTTACAGAATCTGAGGCTGCATGGTGATGAGAGGGAGTCACAGTGAGCAACCTTGACCTACCAGATGGTGAATACAGACAAGTTTCCCCAACTCTCCTTAACCCCTCCCCCTCGCATGCCCTCCCTCTCTTTCCCTCTGCTGTTCTCAATCTCTTTCCTTACCTCTCTCTGCACCCCTCTTGCTGTCCGTACCTCTCTCTCCGTCTCAATCTACCCCTTCCCTCCATCCCTGCTAATGTATGTCAGTGTTGAACTCCAGAGACAGATGGAACCATAGTGGCTCATTACATTACAGACCATCATATGGTCTCACACACGCACATGGTCACCAACAACAGACAGATGCAAACATAGAATGTACTGTGCCCGTGTACCTGCCATTCTCATAGAGCACATATGCAAAGTGTTTGAGCATGTTTCTGCTTGCCGTGTGCAGGCATTCAGAGGTGAAGGACAGTTTAACCCAGTGTACACACACACATATAAAGAGAGAGGTGGACTGTTCTTTCTCAACTGCTTTCGTGTAAATCCAAGATGAACAGAATGAAAAAAAATACACTTTAGACATTCAACAGGATATCAATTCTTAGAAACTTCATCACCTGGTAAGAATACACACACAGAGGGAGAACTAGAACAAGAGTAGTGCTCCTCTCTTTGTGTGCCGCAGGCCTGTGTTATGATGGTACCCTCACCAGGTAAAAGCGCTCTAATATGTATCAGTTTCAGTGTGCGTTCAATTTTTCAACCATCTGTTGTTGTTTTCTCCTCTCGCTCTCCCAGTCTCATCCAATAAAAACACACACAGAGATATCCCCTTTCCAATAACACACCACACTGAGACAGACACATGTACGCACATACACACAGGCCGTGTGCGAGAGCATTCTGTTAAAATCCATGATGCATTGTGGGTAAATTGTGACTGACTGATCTACAAACAATGAGTAGGTATTTATGATGCAAGTAGGCAGATGGTTAGGCGAGACTATGATGCAACGTGATGTGTAGATCAATCAGTCGGCAGTCACCTGCAATGTTGAACAAGCCCACACACACACAAGTGAAGAAAAAATGGTTTATTAGTTTGGGGGGTGTGGCAAAAAATACATGGAATACCATATCACTTCCTGTGTTGATGTGAAGAGAGAAGTCGCGCCGCGTGTAAAACCAGCCGAAGGTTCTACTTCCAGGTCAAACCACTAAACAGGAGGAATTTCTTAATATCTCTGCTGTGATTGGTCCCTTTATGCTGAAAACACCAGGGTGTGTGTGTGTGTTACCCTTTTACTGTAATCTCCTGTGACAACCCTTGAGGCCAGTTTCCCAGCCCCAGATTTAGGCTGCTCCTGGAATATTTCAATGGAGATAATGCAGTAAACCTAATCTGGGTCAGGGTTACCCTGCCTCAGTATTAAGAGGTCAAACTAACTCAGCTGTAGTTAGAATAGGAGAGCGTGTGTGTGCGCGCGCATGTCTTGCGGAAAGCTTTGGTTGTTTATCTCTTTAACAGTCAGACAGCTGGGTGTTACAGAAGCATAGATCCAGTCACTCAGTTACAGGTTTACATCCAACGAGGTCAGCGGTCTCCTTTATATGTAGTTCTTAAGTGAATATATCCCAGAGTATAAAACAGAGACAAGTCATCTATAGTGACAATAAGTCATTCAGCTTTTTACGACAAACCAAAAACATCCTGTGACTTAATTTACAGTCATGTAAAACATAACAGCATTAACAGTAAACAAGTGTGTGTCTGTATGTCGGTGTGTGTAGTGGCTTATATGTTCTTCTGTGTGTGTTTTTGTCCAGCCCAGGAAAGTGAGCAAATTCCTGTGTGTGTGCGTGCAGATGTGTACATGTACTCTGTGTGTGTGTGTCTCAGTCTTTGTGGCCTTCTTTCCTGTAGGGATCAGTCAGTTCTCTACCACCCTAGCAGTGAGTTAGTTAAGTGAAGGAGAGCGTTCAGTAGTCCACAGCAGTTCTATGTAGGGCCACTTGGTCTGGAGGCAGCGTTTCACTGGAGTGTCGTCTGTCCTCACCATGGGATCCTCAAAGCCCAGGACCAAGGCTGTACCCAGCACATACTCCACCTGACACAAAGAGACAACACACACACTGTCAGTATGCACACACCTTACATTCTCATAGTGGTGTGACAGTTGCAGGCCGTTTTAGAGGTGTGCGTATATCTTACCCTCTCGTTGTGGTTGGACTGTTTCAGGCCATTGTAGTGGTAGACAGGGAAGGAGTCTGGGATTCCAGTATCCTGAAAACACACAATATACACCAGTTAACAATCATGGAGTAATCTCTGGGATGTGTGTGTGTCGATGACTCTGCTCTGGAAGATGTGTGTATCGGAACCCACAGTTTGACTAGAGAACATTCTCTAACCCACAGACAATTCAGCATACTTTAGCCTGAAACCCTATCCATAACCCCAAACCCACGTACGTGTGTGTGCGCGCGCACGTTTGTGAAACCCTAACCCCAATCCCACAGAACAGCCTATATTAGAAACCAGTCAATAATGACACAGAGCCAAACACTTTGGCGGGACGTTCCAGAATGCTAATAGACTGTGGGAGTGTGTTTATGTGAAACCATAACCCCAGTCTTTGTGTCTGTGTGTCCAGTTGGCTAATGGCAGTATAATTTCTTTGTGGCCGAGGGCCATTCCTCTGGTGAGTCCCCGAAGCCCTGATCACTTTAACACACTTCCCGCTCTTCTCTCTGTCCCCCCACCCCAACTTTCTTTCTCTTTGCCTCCTGCTCCCCCACTCTAAAGCCATGGTTCCCTGCCATTGAGTCCCTGTCTGAACAGGGGTTTGTGTACATTTATATTTATACATTTCGGTCACAATTTCATTGCTGTAAAAGTTGACTCAACAAATTCATATCCATCGTCAGCCACAAGCCACCAACAAAACGGAAGCTCTCATGCACGCATGCATGTACACGCATACACCAAAGATATTTTTCGTTCATTTGTCCTAGCAGTATGTTTTATGGATGTTGCTTCAGCTTTGAAGTATCTCAGCTCCTCTTCAGTTACCTGATCAGGGAAGAACTCCAGGAGGAAAGGAGCCAGCAGCACGATCCCCAAGCCCTCTGGATCCAACTTACTCTTCATCAGACTCACACTGGAGAGGGAGCGAGGGAGGGAGAGAGAGAAAGGGAGAGAGGGAGAGAGAGAAAGGGAGAGAGGAAGAGAGAGAAAGGGAAGGAGGGAGAGAGAGAAAGGGAAGGAGGGAGAGAGGAGAGGGAAGAAAGAGTTAGGTTTGTCAGACATTTCAACATTTACATTTACATTTTAGTCATTTAGCAGACGCTCTTATCCAGAGCGACTTACAGGAGCAATTAGGGTTAAGTGCCTTGCTCAAGGGCACATCGACAGATTTTTCACCTAGTCGGCTCGGGGATTAGAACCAGCGACCTTTCGGTTACTGGCACAACGCTCTTAACCACTAAGCTACCTGCCGCCCCATCATTTCAACATGATCTTATACTGCCCTACCAAGCAAAAGGCATTTTTGCTACATTAAATACATGCTTAATCATGTGGTATCCTGCCTCTATTGTATTGTGTTTTGTTTTGGAGAAAATGGGGGTAATGTTAGCAGTAACATAAGGTTACTGTGAAACCAAGGTAAATAAAAGCCATTTTTCTCAGTTCCACGCTATGAGCAGTTACCGCCTTTTTGCTTGGTAGGGCAGTATAGTCTAAGCACAGCAATGAGACATGCCTCCAATTCTTCAGAAATCCTAAATTGGCCCAGTTTTAAAGCAATGATAAAACTTGCATCCACTGGAGGGAGAGAAGGAGGAGAGAAATGGGGTAGTGAGAAGGGACATTGGGAGAGAGATAGAGGAAGGGAAAGGGTGGAGGTGAGGAGGAGGGAAAGGAGTGGTGAGGAGGGAGGGGGTGAGGTGAGAGGAGAAGGGGTGGAAGTGAGGAGGGAGGGGTTGAGGTGAGGAGGGAGGGCGAGGGGTGGAGGTGAAGGGGGAGGGCAGGTTAGATGTGAAGAGAGGAGAAGGCGTGAGTTGAGGAGAAGGGTGGAAGGTAGGAGGGAGGGCAGGGTTGAGGTGAGGAGGGAGGGCGAAGGGGTGGAGGTGAGGAGGGAGGGCAGGGGGATGTGACGAGAGGAGAAGGGGTGGAGTGAGGAGAGGGGCAGGGAGGGGGTGGGGAGGTGAGAGGTGAGGTGAGAGGGGCTAGGGGGAGGGAGAGGGAGGCAGGGGTGGATGTGAGGAGAGTGCGAAGGGGTTGAGGGTGCAAAGGGTGGAGGTGAGGAGGGAGGGCGAGGTTGGTGTGAGAGGAGGCAAGGGGTTGGAGGAGGAGAGGAGGTGGATGGTTAGGAGGAGGGCAAGAGGGTGGAGGTTGAGGATTGAGGGAGGGAGTGGTGAGGAGCAAGGGGTGCAGGTGAGGAGGGAGGGCGAGGGGTGGAGGTGAGGAGGGAGGGCAAAGTGGTGGAGTTGAGGGAGGGCAAATTGGTGGAGGTGAGAGGAGAAGGGGTGCAGGTGAGGAGGGAGGGGGTGGTAGTGAGAAGGGCTGTCGGTGAGGTATAAATGTGTCATGTCTAAAAGATTCTGTGTAAGAAAGCGAACCCTGGAGAAATGTACGATAACCTCGTCTGATGATGAGTTCTGGTGTGTGTATGTGTGCAGAAATAGTGCTGTGATACTAAATATACCACTAGACATTCCTGTGTGTTAGAGCAGTAATATTATTCTTATTCCAGTGATAAAACAGAGACACGTTTCCCTTTTAAGGCAGAAATAAGAGTGTTACATGCCCAGACACAGAGGCTGGTAACCCAGTTACACTGTGTGTGTGTCATCTGATGTTGCGGTCAGGGAAATATTCCTCTGCATTATCATTAACAGCAGACTCCTACATTTCCTCTGTGAAAACAACGTCCTGAGCAAATGTCCAATTGGCTTTTTACCAAGTTACCCTACGACAGACCAGGTATTCACCCTAGACACCCTAATTAACAAACAAACAGAAAGCAAAGTATTATCATGCTTTATTGATTTCAAAAAAGCTTTTGACTTAATTTGTCATGAGGGTCTGCTATATAAATTGATAGAAAGCAGTGTTGGGGGGGAAAACATACGGCATTATAAAATCCATGTACACAAACAAGTGTGGAGTTAAAATTGGCAAAAAAAACACAGATTTCTTTCCTAAGGGCCGTGGGGTGAGACAGTGATGCAGTTTGAGCCCCACCCTCCAACATACACCGAGTATACAAACCATTATGCTCTTTCCATGACAGACTGACCAGGTGAATCCAGGTGAAAGCTATGATCCCTTATTAATGTCACTTGTTAAATCCATTTCAAATCAGTGTAGATGAAAGGGAGGAGACAGGTTAAAGGAGGATTTTTAAGCCTCGAGAACATTTCAGACATGGATTGTGTATGTTTGTTTTAGAGGGTGAACGGGGAAGAGAAAATAATTAAGTTCCTTTGAACGAGGTATGGCAATAGGTGCCAAGCGTACCGGTTTGTGTCAAGAACTGCGACGCTGCAGGGTTTTTCACGCTCAACGGTTTCCCGTGTGTATCAAGAATGGTCAACCACCCAAAGGACATCCAGCCAACTTGACAACTGTGGGAAGCATTGGAGTCAACATGGGCCTGTGGAACACTTGACACCTTGTAGAGTCCATGCCCCGACAAATTGAGGCTTTTCTTTTCTGAGTTCAAAAGGGGGGGAGGGGGAGGGGGGCTGCAACGCAATATTAGGAAGGTGTTCTTAATGTTTTGTACACTCTGTGTATACATCAACGAGGGCACTAGAACAATCTGCAGCACCCGGCCTCACCCTACTACAATCTGAAGTCAAATGTCTATAGTTTGCTGATGATCTGGTGCTTCTGTCCCCAACCAAGGAGAGCCTACAGCAGCACCTATATCTTCTGCACAGATTCTGTCAGACCTGGGCCATGACAGTAGGCTTGGGAGGTATCCAGATTGTCATACCGACCTTGTGCCATCCCGGGATATTCGGTAATACCAGCACTGAACACAAGGGGCACTATTTTCAAACCCCACTGTAATCCGAAGGTTAGCAATGCTAACAAGTAAATCTAAAATCCCATAGAGAATGCTAGCAAAATGCTAACGAGCGCATTGCAAACATTTTATACAGTCTCTGATCTAAACTATTTGCAGGACAGACATCCAAGCTCATAAAGTTATACAAGTAACTCAAATTCTACTCACAGTTTGCCTCATGAAAAAAACTAATATTAGACAGAAAGGCTCTTGATCCAGGAGGGAATTCTCGGCTGTTACCAAGCGAAAGCTTGATTTTGGAAAAATCTAATCACTTAGCTAGATAGCTAACTAGCTACTAAATTAGCAAACTAAATGCACAACTACAGAGCATTTAGCACATTTTAGATAGTTAACTTAAATAGCTTTAAGATATCTAAGTTGGCAAACATTTAGTAGTGAATTCCATACAGTAACTAGATGGCATGTACTGCACAACAGCTCTGGTCTCTCGTCGTTGTGTGCTTGTAAACAAACACCACGTGACTGGGGACTACCGGTAAGCTTTACAATGAAAAATTATGTGACAGCTGAAATGAAGAACACGATCTTTATCCCCTGACGTATCGCACAAGTTGACTGCAGGCATTTACTCAAAAAGTAGCTACAAATATTCAAATGTATTAAAAAAAACTTCAAATAAATAGTTTAAACGGTATTGATAGTACTGAAATACCGTCCCATGGCTATTTCCAAATACCCCGGTATACCTTACCAAGCCTACCTGACTGAATCTCAGTAAGACAAAAATTGTGACAAAAAAAAGGTCCAGTTGCCAGCAGGGGTTGGAACCGAAATTATTTTCCAATAGTTTATTTCTGAACAGAACCACTATTTTCTTCATTTAATTCCACTGTCCCGACCAGCAAAATAAAGTTCTGAACCGGTTTGAACAAAATAAAAAGTATATTGTTCCTTTCTGTTCCTTTTTTAACCTGTGAAAATCAACTGTTTTTTACATTTCGCTCATTAAATTACTTCACCAATCAGTGCAGATAGAGCAGGCAACCTAGTTGTTTACATGCGTGATGGACAGACAAGTGTAGCCTACGGTGCAAGATGCGAATGACATTCTGCGGGTGGGGAGAGAGCGAGAGAGGGTTGAGGATGAGGCTTGAAGCACTGGGCATCTTGTGCTATGACATGCATTATATGAATTAGGTCCACAGAATTATACCTAGGAGGAGCGGCTTCTATGGAGGAACTTCAAATGTCCTTTGAGCTAGCTAGCTAACAAGATTGTGTGTGCAGAGCGGCACCAGAATTAAAAACACGTCTTACAATTTTGTAGTTAATAAATCCAACATGAAAAACGTGATAACTAGGCCTATAGTATCCTTAACTAGCATTGAACAAGTTAATCCATTATTCTCTAGCTAATTAAAGATCTCTCCCTATCTTCTGAATCAAGCGCCAATGTAATGTCAGTAGGCAACAGTCAGTAGCCTATGCTTCAGAGGGGGAGGGGCAGGTAGCCTAAACACCCACAGGCAAAGATTTTCAGCTTGCATGCAGACACTGGAATACGTTTCTGAGTGACAGAGGGCTTTGAATAGGCGTTTTGTTGTGGGACTAGAAAAAAATGCCTGGAAAGTAAAATAATGTTATTAACCGGTTCTCATGCTTTTATAATAACGGTTCTGTTCTCCTGCCAAATGTATGACCATATTAGAGACACATATTTCCCTCAGATTACACAGGCCTACAAATAATTTAAAAACAAATCAATTTTGATAAACTCCCATATCGATTAGGTGAAATACCACAGTGTGCCATCACAGCAGCAAGATTTGTGACATGTTGCCACAAGAAAAGGGCAACCAGTGAAGCACAAGCACCATTGTAAATACAAACTACACAACCAAAAGTGTGGACACCTGCTTGTCGAACATCTCATTCCAAAATCATGGGCATTAATATGGAGTTGGCCCCCCCCTTTGCTGCTATAACAGCCCCACTCTTCTGGGGAAGGCTTTCCACTAGATGTTGGAACATTGCTGCGGGGACTTGCTTCCATTCAGCCACAAGAACATAATGAGGTTGGGCACTGATGTTGGGCGATTAGGCCTGGTTCACAGTCGGCGTTCCAATTAATCCCAAAGGTGTTCGATGGGGTTGAGGTCAGGGCTCTGTGCAGGCCAGTCAAGTTCTTCCACACAGATCTCGACAAACCATCTGTATCGACCTTGCTTTGTGAACGGGGGCATTGTCATGCTGTAGCCTTAAGATTTCCCTCCACTGGAACTAAGGGGCCTAGCCCGAACCATGAAAAACAACCCCAGACCATTATTCCTCCTCCACCCAACTTTACAGTTGGTAATATGCATTGGGGCAGGTAGCATTCTCCTGGCATCCGCCAAAACCAGATTCGTCTGTCGGACTGAAAGATGGTGATTCGTGAGTCACCCGTCCAGAGAACGCGTTTCCACTGCGTCAGAGTCCAATGGCGGTGAGCTTTACACCACTCCAGCCGACGCTTGGCATTGCGATCTTAGGTGATCCGACGAACAGTTCTTGTGCTGACGTTGCTTCCAGAGGCAGTTTGGAACTCAGTAGTGAGTGTTGGAACCGGGGACAGACAATTTTTAGCACTCGGCGGTCCCGTTCTGTGAGCTTGTGTGGCCTACCACTTCGCGGCTGAGCCGTTGTTGCTCCTAGACATTTCCACTTCACAATAACAGCTCTTACAGTTGACCGGGGCAGCTCTAGCAGGGTAGTAATTCGACGAACTGACTTGTTGGAAAGGTGGCATCCTATGACGGTGCAACATTGAAAGTCACTGAGCTCATCAGTAAGGCCATTCTACTGCCAATGTTTATTTCACTTTAGTTTATTATCTATTCCACTTGCTTTGGCAATGTAAACATGTTTCCCATGCCAATAAAGCCCTTTGAATTGACTTATTCCCCACTCTAAACCCTCAATTACATCCTGCTGTTTAGTGTTTGTTTATGTGGGGAACTTGTGACACACACATCCTCATCAGTCGCACATTTTTAAACAAACAAACACATTTACATACACACACACACTTATCCAGCTAGTTAGAAACATGATTATAGATGAAACCCTGATGAAGGCAGCATAGCTGTCGAAACATTCGTTAAATGTATTGCATCGGAGCCGCAGAGTGTTCGGCTTGTCTTTTCTAAGAAACATGGTTATATTCAGCAAACAGCTAACGTTTCTGCCATTGTAACTTAACTGTTCAGTCTTGTCCCCACAGTGTGAAAGCTGTCCAGGTTGGTGTGGTCAGGTCAGCTGATGACTGTGTGATCTGGGCTGACCTTAAGGCGGGGATAACCAGAACCTTGTTTGAAGAAGCACTTTAAAGCATTTCCTCTCAGTCTTCCTGCTAGTAGTTAATGCCCCCCTCCATCCTCCCCTGCCCTCTTTCTCGCTCCCTCTGCACGTTTAGTGTTCTTTCTCTCTGGTTCTGTCTGTGTTCTCTCTGCTCTTTACCCAGCAGCAGTGAAACATGAGCTAAGGCGGCTGGAACTGGCGCTGGACAAGAGCACACACACACTTACTAGTATTCGGGTTCTGAGACGAGGTCTAGTGCCTTCATCACCTCCTCCAACAGAGAGTCTGGAATAAAGCCGTTATCTAGAGGGAGAGAAAGAGAGAATATTTCTCAGATCATTTTAGTCCAAACACAGCAAGGAGACAGGCCTCAGATTCCTCAGCAATTCTGTGTGTTTGGTTTCTGGGTTTTCTGGGAGTCATGATCAAAGAGGTGGGGTGGAGAGAGTGCCTTCACTTTCCCTCACACCGTTTACACTGTGCTAACTGAGGTACAGTAACTCATCACACACACACACATGCGCAAAAGCACGAATGCCGGCCTTGTCCTCTCCTCTGTCTGACCTACATTCCTCAGCTATGACTTCTCTACCTGAGAGGACCAGCTTTAAACACTACCACGTGTGTACGTGTGTGTGTGTGTGCATGTCCTACCCATCTACTTTAAACACTAACATATGAGTGTGTGTGTGTGTGCGTGCACGCATACATGGGTACAGTATGTGTGTGTTGTACATTGGGAAGGACTACAGCTGAGTCATAGCTTTACCCTAGGTTTCAAATTCTGTGTGGAACACTAACGAAGCTGTGTTTTATTGCATGCATGTGAGACCTACGTGTGTGTGTGTATGTATGTTATTGCATGCGAGACCTGTGTGTGTGTATGTTATTGCATGCGAGACCTGTGTGTGTGTGTATGTTATTGCGTGCATGCGAGACCTGTGTGTGTGTATGTTATTGCGTGCATGAGAGACCTGTGTGTGTAAAATGTATGCACTCACTAACTGTAAGTCGCTCTGGATAAGAGCGTCTGCTAAATGACTAAAATGTAAATGTAAATTATTGCGTGCACGTGGGATGTGTGTACACCCTGGCGCCTCTCTTCTATAAACACAGTAAACTGGGCCGACTCTAGATGTGACACTGGCAGATTTATAGGGCTTTGACACTGCTCTCAACTCTGCTGGTTTTAGTGTGTGTGTATAAACATCCATATGGCATACATGAAAAATCTCACGAAACAGCAGAAACGGATCTCAGCGCAGACAGACCTATTAATTTCTCTCTCTGTTTCTCCCTCTCTTGATCCCTCTCTGGTCTGAATGGGTCAGTGTGTTTACTTCATATTTGGTGTGGAGGCGACCAGAACAGACTAGACTACTCTCCGCTGGTGAGGCTCACTTTGTTAGAAAATTCAACACACACAGGCACACACACACCCTCAGCCACGCTAAGAGGCATATTGTTCTTATAACACGAAACGGAGGAATGTTGTTTACTGCGTCAGAAAAGATTACGCTTCAATTCCTGCTGGAACACACACTGGAGCACTCACTAAAGACGGACATCAAAGACAGCGACACACACACAAATGTGTCTGTGCAAGTCTGGTCCATGGGGTGTGTGACTTTGGTGACCTTATCAGTCTTCAGCTGAACACACACACACACACACACACACACTCCAGCAACATGCATCATGAGTCTGTAACCTCATCTCTCCATACATACACTACACATACATACAAAAGTATGTGGACACCCCTTCATATTAGTGGATTTGGCTACTTCAGCCACACCCGTTGCTGACAGGTGTATAAAATCGAGCACACTGCCATGCAATCTCCATAGACAAACATTGCCAGTAGAATGGCCTTACTGAAGAGCTCAGTGACTTTCAACGTGGCACCGTCATAGGTTGCCACCTTTCCAAGAAGTCAATTCGTCAAATTTCTGCTCTGCTAGAGTTGCCCCGGTCAACTGTAAGTGCTGTTATTGTGAAGTGGAAAAGTCTAGGAGCAACAACGGCTCAGCTGCGAAGTGGTAGCTCACAAGCTCACAGAACGGGACCGCCGAGTGCTGAAGCGCGTAAAAATAGTCTGTCCTCGGTTGCAACACTCACTACAGAATTCCAAACTGCCTCTGGAAGCAACGTCAGCACAAGAACAGTTTGTCAGGAGCTTCATGAAATGGGTTTCCATGGCCGAGCAGCCGCACACAAGCCTAAGATCACCATGCACAATGGCAAGCGTTGGCTGGAGTGGTGTAAAGCTTGCCGCCATTGGACTCTGGAGAGGTGGAAATGTGTTCTCTGGAGTGATGAATCACGCTTCACCATCTGGCAGTCCGACAGATTAATCTGGGTTTGGCGGATGCCAGGAGATCGCTACCTGCCCCAATGCATAGTGCCAACTGTAAAGTTTGGTGGAGGAGGAATAATGGTCTGGGGCAGTTATTTTATGGTTCGGGCTAGGCCCCTTAGTTCCAGTGAAGGGAAATCTTAACGCTACAGCATACAATGACATTCTAGACGATTCTGTGCTTCCAACTTTGTGGCAACAGTTTGGGGAAGGCCCTTTCCAGTTTCAGCATGACAATGCACCTGTGCACAAAGCGAGGTCCATACAGAAATAGTTTGTTGAGATCGGTGTGGAAGAACTTGACTGGCCTGCACAGAGCCCTGACCTCAACCCCATCAAACACCTCTGGGATGAATTACGACTGCGAGCCAGGCCTAATCGCCCAACATCAGTGCCGTCCTCACTAATGCGCTTGTGGCTGAATGGAAGCAAGCATACTTTTTGGCAATGTAGTGTATCCCTCTCCTCTCCTCTCCATCTGAAATGTGTCTTCCGCATTTAACCCAACACCTCTGAATCAGAGAGGTGGCGGTGGGCTCGGCAGTTATCGACCATCCAGTCATCGGACGCTCTGTATTGGCGGCTCGGGGGGGAACAGTGGTTATAACTGTCCCTTCATCAAGGGGTCGAAGACATACAGATTTTGACCTTGTCCGCTCTGGGATTGATCCAGCAACCTTTCGGTTACTGGCCCATAGGGCGTTGTGGACAGGGTGGCGGATGGGTGTAAGCATCTGCCTCTGATTCCAAAGGTTTCAAGTTCGAATCCAGCGATAGAAAGTTGCTTTTGCTTTTTTTTTTTATTCGCCTGTCCCAAATCATAACCAAGTTAATGCCTGAACTTTAAACACTTCGAAATGTGACGTTTGGAACAACTTCTAAATTTGATGCTTGAGAAACGTGGGTGAATGTCTAATTCTGACGTTAGACTGAGAGCTGGTTGCCCTTCTCTCTCCCATCACATCAAATATTCTTCCTTCTCTCTATCACTCTATCCTTGCCTTTCCCCCCAGGTCACCCCAAAAGGAGGAAGAAGAGGATGGGAGCAGGTTGACTCAGCTGTGTGGGGATTGGGGTGGCCGGACACACACACTAACCCCAAAACAACAACAGCAGAGATGAGACGAGAGAGGACCCCCGCTCAGAGGATGAAGAGAAGAGAGGATGAGAAGATAGGGGTGGGAGGTTATACAGGCACATGCACTACCAGGAAGGAGAGAGGAGAAAAGATAACATGTCCAGCTATTTGTGTATTGGTGTGTGTGTGTGTGAGAAAGAGGCGATATACTGTTTATACCGTACATTTCGAAATACAGATGGTATGACATTCAATACCATTTTTCTTTTCTTTTTATAAACCGGTGTCTGCGAGGGTGCATGCTACGCCACTGCTTATAACTATAAGTATAACTATAAGAAAACTAAGATATTTCTATTAAATTATATCCAGCTCAGGGCTCCAGCTATGCATTTAGTTTGCTAACTTGCTAGCTAAGTGTCAAGCTCAAGCTTCTTGGTTACAGCAGAGACATTCCATCCCCTCCTGGATCAGGATCCCTGTTGCCTAAATTGTTTTGTGCGTTTTTATTTTAATAGCGCCCCGTGTGCACTTCCGGTAAAACCGTATACCCCGGTATGGTACAGAAACAGTATGAAAATCTGGATACCGCCCAACCCTAGATACTATCATTGAACAGTATTACCTTCTGGGTCGAAGGTTTGGAAGACTCTCCTGGCCTGTTCAGACGGAGACTCAGGAGCCACCAGACACATCTCCTACAAAGACAAGAGAGACAGGGACATATCTGTCAGATATCTCAACATTATCTTATGGTCTAAACACAGAAATTAGACAGGCTTCCAATTCTCCAGAAAACCCCAAGAGAAAGAGAGAGCGAGAGAGATGATGTTGTGTAGACCGAGACACACAGAGATCACATAATAGGTCAAGAATTAAAAGATTACAACACCCCCCCGGGAGACCCTGGAAACATGTAGAAAATGTAACACACACAGGCCATGTAGCTTTTCTGATAATCTGAAACTGGAGAAGGAACAGACAAAGGCTCCCAGCAGTACTGTATCCTACACTGGCTCTAAGGAGTGCGTGTGTGTGTGTGTACGTACGGACTATCATAATCATCAGGCTCTGTTGGGTCCTTAGCTGATCTGCAGATAAAACCAGACGTTTTGTTTTCACTCAAAACACACAAATCAGCCAATCAGGCGCTCACACAGAGAGTTATAGTTGTTTGCTGACTCAGAGTGACGTTGCCAGGGGGACTCGGAGGAGAAATAAGGAGAGACAGATTTCACAGAGATGGGACAGTGTGTGTGTGTGTGTGTGTGTGTTGAGATGAGGGGGGTTAGTCCCGATCTCTGGATTCATCAACTCCTTCACCCTCTAACTCTGTACCCCCTTACCAGTTTCATAGTGAAATATGACAGTTTTGACAGGCTGGGAACCAAACTGCAAACGCAAACACACACCGTGGGTAGCCTAGTATTAATGACACTGGCTGCATCCACTGAACTGGAGTATGTTTACTACAGTGGCATACTATACAAACACACTCAGCGAAGAGCAAATAAACTGAGCACATCTCTCTCAGCCAGCCTTTATTAAAGTAGGAGCTCAGATGAGACGGTAGGTTATAGGGTATCAATGAGACATATTACTGTCCTCAGGGGTCACAGAAAGAGAGCTGGAGAGAGAGCGAGAGATGGACACAGGAAGAGAGATGGACAGAGGAAGAGAGATCAGGGGAAGAAGAGACATCAAGAGGAGAAGACTCCCAGCTGGTAGGGAGGAGCGCACACACACATTTCTCCCTGTCAGAGCAGCTGGGGTACAGAATGGTTAGATTTGTTGGTTTAAGTATCTCTATAAATCAAACAGTCCATTCTTCATCCAGATAGATAGACAAGAAGTCAGACGTGAGTG